AGAGCAAAAAGATTAAAACGTACACTCACCATAAACATTTTAATACTTCTATCTCGTCCTGCTTTATCTTCTTCGAAGGAACAACATCGCCACATCCGACATCACCAGGAGCAAAAAATCCACGTCTTCACACTATGACCAAGTTTTGGTTTGACGCAAATTCCACAAGTAGTCATGAATATTGATTACAAACTAGAGCCAATCAGTGGCAAAAACGTCGGCGCATATTTTCACAACTTGAAATTTAATACTTATGCAAAACTAATGTATTGCTTCAACAATCATTTGTCAATTTTACTTCAGATCATTGCATTTTTAGGCTTTATTAAGACAGCAATACAAGAAATTAAATACATTTGTAAAAAGTGATTCACGCCGCCGTCATATTTCGTTAAATAAAACCTTTTCTGATAATTAATCTTATAGGTCGAAATTGGTTACAAGCTAATAAAGAGGGCTTAAAGCAAATAGAAGCTCAACTAGATAGGTATTTTACGGTCATTCAGGTTTGATGTCCTTTCCTAAAAAGTGTTTTCACTGCTAACTTGGTTCAAACAAAAAAACAATCAAAGAAAAAAGATCTATTCAGTCCGACACAAGCATAAAAAAAAATCGGAGTCCCCTTGCGGCGGCTGAACGCCTGTCCTTCCGAATAAAAGCTTGGAAATGTAACCACTGGGCTACAGGGGGAATCCTTGAATTGCGTAACAAATTTAAAGGTACCTATAGGCACCTGAAACTTAGCTGTTATTGTCAGCCTTATCTTGCCTAGAAAAATGTGCCATAAAAGAAATTAAAGACCTGATCGAGACTGGCGTCTCAGTAATTTGTAGCTCCCCTAACGATTGTCTTTCTTCCAAATATAGTAGTTCGTCTTTATTGTGAGCATTTTCGTTCCTCTAACAATAGTAACTCACAGCCCTAGGAAACCTTTTTGAGTACTGGTTAAGAAGTAATTTTTAGGGCTTAAAAAGAATGATGGCATGACTAGTCGGGCATTTTACGGAAGCTTACAGTGGATACCCTTTCTTAAAAAGATATTTCACATCAAACTTCAAACGGAAGAAAAGAGGATTGTACAAAAAACATATCTATTCAGGTTGAAACGAGAAAGAAAAAAAAAGGTGCGGAGTCCCCCGACTGGCGTCGAGCGTATATATGCCCTTCCGACCGCACAGCAGGTTAGATGCGTAACCCAATGGGCTACCGGGGGACTCCTTGACAAGGTAAGAGAATTTAATAGCTAAATACGTGAAACAACAATATAGCTGCTACTGACAAAATAATTTTTCTGTTACAAACGTGGATTAAGAAAAATTTCAGACCTGAAACAGATTGGCGTCTGGATAACTTATAGCCACTCTAAGGATTTTCGTTCTTCTAACAATAGTAACTCGCCGTCTTAGCAAACCGTTTATAGCTGCCAAAGCTTGGGCCAAAGTTTAGTTCTGTGCCAAATTAACTCCGATAAAGTTCAAACAAAACCATCACGAAAATTTTAAATAATTTTTCTTTTTCATAGAACCTTTTTCAAGTCGGTTGTTATAAATGACATGTTTTAAACTCTTGGTGTTCCATTTGCTTTGGTATCTCCATATTGGTTAGTAGGTAATATTTAGGGCTTAAAAAAAATGATGGCATGGCTAGTCGGGCATTTTACGGAAGCTTACAATGGATACCCTTTCTTAAAAAGATATTTCACATCAAACTTACTTCAAACGGAAGAAAGAGGATTGTACAAAAAATATATCTACTCAAGTTGAAACGAGAAAAAAAAAAAAAGGCGCGGAGTCCCCCGACTGGCGTCGAGCGTATATACGCCCTTCCGACCGCACAGCAGGTCAGATGCGTAACCCATTGGGCTACCGGGGACTCCTTGACAAGGTTAGAAAATTTAATAGTTAAATATGTGGAACAGCGATATAGGTGTTACTAACAAAGTAGTTTTGCTTTTGGAAATGTGCCATTAACAAAAATTTTCAGACCAAATCAGTAATTTATAACCGCTCCCTAACTATTCCTAAGTTTCCCGAGAGGTTTAATAGCTTTTTAAGTTTTTTTTCTGGACCAAAGTCAAGAAATTTCGGACAAAAGTTTCAAAATTTTTAAATAACCTTGCATTAGTTAGAGAGTGTTTTTGTAATGCATTGTTGAATCTTTTTCAAACAAACGAGAAAATTGACTTTGCAATTGTGATCCGTAATTTTATAGGTCTTTGCCTATTGGTTAGAAGCCAATAGAGAGGGCTTAAAGCAAGTTAAGACATGGCTAGATGGGTATTGTATGGTCAGCCAGGTTTGATGTCCTTTCTGAAAAGGTGTTTTCACTGCTGACTTAGTTTAAACGGAAAAATGGAAGATAGTACCACTTTAAATGGAATAAGCTTTACTTCCAGCCCCTGCTCAGCAAAGGAGCCCGCCCTGGGGGGGGGGGGGG